GGGGGTGGAAGGCGAGCTAAACACCAGAGGCAGAGGCGTAGCGACCCTTCCCGGCGCCCGGGGACATACTTTCAATTTGGCGCCCCCCTCGGGAGCAAATTTTTGATTTGCACCCCCCCCCCCTCGAACATTTCATTTGCACCCCCCCCCCCCTCAAACTTTCGATTTGCACCCCCCCCCCCTTCGAACTTTTCATTTGCACCCCCCCCCCCTCAAACTTTCAATTTGGCGCCCCCCCCCCTAAGGTCGGCGCCCGGGGACATATGTCCCCCCCCCCCGCCCCCCCTCGCTACGCCTCTGACCAGAGGGCAGGGTTTGGCGGCGGGGGGAGGGTAGTTAAACACCATGGGTGGAGAAGGGGCTGATAGCTAAACACAAACGGGCAAGTGGAGGTTGGGGTTGGAAGGCTAACTAAACACTAAAGGCCACAGATGGTGGTGCTAGCTAAACACCAAAAGAGGGGGGGGATCTCTAGCCAACCACAGGGAGGTTTTGGCTAGCTTAAGACCAGGGGGCGGGGATGGAGATACTATCTAAATACAAAAGGGCGGAGGGGGCGTGTGCTAGCTTAACATTGAAGAGCGGGGGACGGAGGGCTTCATGCATTCTCTGGATTCGCCTATGGCAGTACGTCATGGGATGGAGTGGTCTAGCAGTAGAAAGCTGGACTGCTAAACCATAAGTCTCGAGTTCTAATCCCGGTTCAAGTCAGTAGACCGTCCCTGAGTCCACCCAACTCGCATTAAGGAAAGTAAAGGCGGCTGGGCATAGTGTTGACCACACTATCTCTTCATATGCCGAGGTCTCAGAAACACGTGAACTCTAATTCACTTGCCCTATAGACCGTCAGGTTTGAAAGGGAACTTTTAATACGTCTTGCATTCTATTATTGTTGGCGAACTAAATCTTAGTAAAACTCAATCGTTCCATATTAGCCCCCCCCCCACCATATAAGTCGACCTCCCCCTCTCTTAAACATAGCTACTGACGAAGGTGATGTTCCCCAAGGGGGGCGGGGGGGGGGGGGCGGGTCACCTTGTCAGTACGCGATTGTCACGTGACATGTAGACAAACGCCTCTCGCCTGACCAATGTCGTCATTGTTCCTACGTCACCAACTGCCCCCCGTCCCTTCCTAATATATTGACGTCTACACACATATTTTGTTTTTTTTACTTTCTCTAACGTCTTTACAAGCCTGCCATATCCTACCGTATGACGTCTATGCGGGACTGGACGTTCATCTACAAAGCCATTACAACTGCCGTCTTGTCCTGGGCAATTAATTACCTCCCATGTTGCGTTCGTCGTCATTCAAGTGTCCCTAGACCTTTAAACAGGTCATGATGCGACCCACGGTTCGTACAACTTCGTACAACTTCGTACAACTTCGTACAACTTCGTACATCTCCGTGAGTTCATTTGTAAATCCGTTTCGTAAAATTTTCCATCATGTTATATTTACCTGCTTGACAGTTATGTAAGCTTTGTTTCTTCCACTTTTTTTTCTCCTGGGGGGGGGGGGGGGGTGGGTTCGACGGGACGGGACACTTGATAAAAGTATATATTTTCTAAATACATTCCATATCGTTCGGGGGGGGGGTGAGGCGAAACTCTGTTAGTATGTTTTGCTTGTTACAGTTTACAATCCACATATAGGACGATACTATTTAATAACAAATCCTACACCATTTACGTTAATGCCATTAAATCATGAAAAGCTATTGTAAAAGCTTTAAATCACACAAACATTTGACGACATTTTACTTGACGATTTAATTGTAGAAAAATAATGAGAAGTTTCGCGATTGAAATTATTTTTTAAAACCTAAGAAGTATTCTTACAATGAATGCAGACTATTAGACAAATATGTTGAATATGTATACATTAACAAGTAGGGATTTTTCTATTTATGCGATTTCTAATATGATTTTTAATTATTTTTTTTTAGTTCTAACTATTTTAATTTTTATTTCTATGGTTGACGAGTTATCGTACTTTAATAATTCTTAATTTAGATCTATCAAGGAAGTAGTAACTTATAAGATAAGGGGAACTACTCTAACAACGTATTTTAATAGCCCTTTCTACACGGTAAAGCATTATAGATTAGTCTGCCCACCACTCTGTTGACATACATTAAAACATGAACGATATCAGTGCTGTATTCTGAAGTTTGAAGAGTGTAGAAATAAAACCTCTTTTTTTCTAATTTGTGATAAATAAATAAAAATAATATCCATTTTTAAAATTAAAAAACCAGAAACATTTCTCCATTTAAATTCTTAATATTGATTGACACAGTTATGTAACGAGTTCACGCAGCAGTTATCGTTCCTTTCCTCCCAACGATAAATCAAGCCCTCTCTTCATTAAAACTAATTTTGCCCCGCCCCCCGACTTGTTTTGAACTTTGACCTTTCCTCGTCCGCTCTTTGACACAATTTTTCCACGTCTGCACCCCTCCTATGTTGACGTAACAACCTGCCATCCACCCCTCCCTCCTCCTTCCCTACCAAAATTTATATTAAAAACTAAAAAAAAAATCCAAGCCGGCATATTGCCAGGTTGTTGCTAACTAACTACCAGCACTTTACCAGATTTCCTCGACGAGGTAGGCCATAATAAAAAGTGGGAACAAAAATTTCTCAAACAGTAGAATTGTTGTTTTTTCTTCTTCGTATAAAACCGACAGAGGGAACAATTACAAGGATTCAAAGACAGCCGACTAATTACAAGATTAGCAGGATATAAAGCTGGTAAACAGGGGGAAAAAATAGAGAAAAAAAATAGGATGCTTCGATTGCGTGGATGTAATTAATACAGATCAATCAGTACAGGATTAGATCAATGAGCTCTGTGGTTTGTGCTGGTGATTTGAACAAGTTTCTTGTGCGGTAGTTCGTTACTGGTAAGGTTGATACGAATTCGGTAACCTATACGTAGAAGTGTTCTCAGTGCTTGGTTTATTTATGTTTTTTTAATTTTATTAGGCTGCTTTTTATTAAGTTTAGAATAGATTTTGGATCTATGAATTTTTGAGCGTGCTTGTGTTTGACGTGTTTTTAAAAACATGTAGACCTACTGCTTGTTACCTTAGAAGTACATTCGTTTTGTTTCTTTTCTTTTTAAAAAAAAATAATTTTCAACAAAAATATAATTTTAAATACATTTTCCTTTTTCTTAAAGGAAATTTACTCAAATTTCGGCCGAATTAATTATTTTTTTTTTGCATAACAAATGATACTAATGTTACTAGTAATATATTGTGCCTCAAATGACAAATTAAACCACATTTTAATTAGTATTTGGAAAAAAAACATTAATAATTTTTTTGTGTACATTAATTAACTTTAAAAAAAACGTTTCAAATCTGCACAAATATTTATAACGCGCTACATTTAAGACCCTGCAAAGTCATAAACCTGCCATCGCGAATGTATGTTATTTTTTAAAGATTAAAACAAAAGCTTCATTTGCATAATGACTCATGCCTAATTAGCGAACGGCTACAGGTCGGAGTCTTAAATTTACTTCACGAAACAAAAACTTTCGTAGCCCTTGTCTCAACACTCTGTCTAGCACATTGTTTTCTAGACACGAACACATATCTAAGTGTCAAGAGATTCACATTCCATCTGTAATTTATTTCCCGCGTAGTTTTAAAAAAAAATTATAGAAGATGATAATGAATAACGAATAAACAGTTATTGTATGTTAACTTTTAATTAATTTAGGTGATGTTTTAAGCCCTAATTAAAAAAAATATTTAAGATTTTTTTCCTTGTTTGTGACCGATGCATGAGGGTCATGTGAACAGTTTTCACATTCTTTAGGGTCTAGAATCACTATAGTCATTTGCTCAATGTATTTTTGTGTAAGGGGGAGCGGTTTGTTATGGGCTAGGACCGTTACATCAAAGCTGCATGTAATACGCTATATATGCTGAAAATATGCGGGTCAAGGCTATCAGATGATGTTACGGTTTAATTAGGTCATCTTTGTAAATCTTGTTTCTAATTAACCGCGAATGTTTTTTATAAATCAGTTATTGCAAGTAGTGATAGTCTATCCTATGTAGTTACAAATCTTAATGTGGTCGATTTGTCAAGAACTGTTTGAAGGGCATTTCATACTAATCTGATTTTTAATAAAACAATACATTTTGAAGTTAGATTATTATTCCAATTTTCTATAATTGTTTTCCTGAAAATGAAATCGATGTTAAATAGTTCCTGGGGAGAGAGGTTCGCGCGAGAAACAAATTAGATATTACACAGAGATACAAGCTATAATCTTAGTCACATATTAGAAGTTCCAGAGGAGTAGCGACCCCTCCCGGCGCCCGGGGACAAACTTTCAATTTGGCGCTCCCCCATATATTTTTTATATTTATAATTCAAAATAGCAGCTAAAATGAGCTTATTTTGACACCCATAGGGTCGGCGCCCGGGGACATATGTACACACTCCCCCGGCCCAAATCCCCCCCCCCGCCCCCGTCGCTATGCCTCTAAGCTCTGATTCATTCACAATGCCCAACACAGCGACAGCTTAATCATAACAACTATACCTATTTTTAACTAATGTGTGATCTACTGTGGACAACAGTTGTATAAAAATCTAGATACTGTCATGGCCGGTATTCGAACCCACACATCCACAGTTTTCACAACAATCTTCGTGTTCTTGTAGGAAGGCATTTCATTTCTATACATTTAATCTGTCTAAAAGTACTCAACTAATCTCCACATAGAAATATAGTTTTAAAATGCACTTTTTATAATAAATAAAAAACAAATACAATTTGGATAAAATGATATAAATAATGTATAAAATTGTTTTTAACCGAGGAAAGTAGTTTATCGCGAAAAACTAAAAACAAAGGTTATTTTTTAACGAAATATTATATTTAATTTCGTAATTTAATTTGTAGCGCTTTTTGAAGTATCATACTTTTTTAAAGACAGAGACTATCTAGAGCTTTGCAAATTAACTTCTCAATGAATCCGGTTAAACAGTAGCCCAAACAGAGCTCAACGTAACCCTAAATGTGGGCAGACCATCCTAGCGCTAACGTGGATATCGTGACGTCACTGCCCTGACGAAAACAAGCCTAGTCAGTTGATGTTGTGAGGCGCGGAGATAACAAACGACTCTTTGAGGGGAGCTAATTCTTACAAGACATTTCAAGGGAAGCTACTGAGCGGTAAGTTAATTTTACCTGAGATTAATTAGTAAATAGTTCGTTAGTAATTTTAGTTGACATGCTGTGAATGTTTATGCAGGAAATTGTTTAATTTTAGAAGGTATTTATGTGTGTTTATCTAACGATCTATAAAACATAAGCAGATGGTAACCAACGGTTTTTTTTTTAACCAAGGGCGTAGTTAGGATTATTCATCAAGGCCAGAGATATCTTCTGGCTTACATATGATAACAAATTTACATAGCAAAACAAGACATTGAGCAAAATATTGTTAGTGTTAATTTATATTTATTATATATATATATATATATATATATATATATATATATATATATATATATATATATATTAAAAATTCACTACGTTGCACGACTATGTGGAACACCACGCACGCCGACTCTCTAACCCTCCTCCCGCCCCCTCCCTCACTCTCCAGACATGCGCAACAGTGTCTACCCACCCCATTTGGGCGACTGTGTCTTACAGGAAGTCTTCACCCGTCACTAAATAGCGGCGTGGCATACGGGTTGGCTCGTTTTAAATAAAGTTACTAAAGGACTTTATGATAGAGAATACATGAGATTTTCCAACAAGATAAATAAATCAGTTTAATATACTGAAAAGCCTAATGATAATTGACCGTTTTAATTTTAAATTAATGTTTTTCTGAAAATTAATAGGCAAACCGCGGTCACCCGAACGAAAGAGATTATTGTGATGCAGTGGCGTCACAAGGCGGGGGGTACGGTAGGTCCGCACAAAGTGACAACATTTAGGGGTAACAACCGGTGTTTCTTCCTGTTTAATTTCTCCGGGGGGGGGGGGGCACTTGAAATTTCCGGGGGGGGGGAACACTTTCTTAAAAGTATATATCTTCTATATAAACTCCATTTCGTTCGGGGGGGGGGGGGAAGCGGTAGACTTTCTTCGGGGGGGGGGGGGACTTCCCCAAGAGATACCTGGAAGAAACTCTGGTGACAACACATCGAAAAATTGTGAAAGTTTCTGTCAAAACATAGGCGTATCCAGTTAAAAGAATAAAATAGTAGGGGATTGGGGGTGACACTAAACAGCAAATGCAAAAAAAATATAGGTGGATGGTTGGGTGACAATTTCACCGCGCTGGATGACACTATTTCTAGTGAAGCCACTGCTGCAATGCACTACAAATAAATAATAATAAAAAAAAACAACAGAAAAATGTATTTACGCATTACCTGCCAACTGGTTCTAAAAACACACTAACTATTTCATCCAGCGAGGTGCTAGGGGGTTAAATAATATCTCACCTATTGTGATCCTGGTTGTCAATGTTAATCGCTCGTTCATCAGTGTACCGCAAACAAAGGGACTTAACCCTTTACAACCTGTTGTCAGGTAACCAGCCCTTGTGCCGGCACAGTGTTGTACGATTTGTACCCGGTACAATTTATAAATTGAAATATTTGAAGCGAGCCATTTTTATAATATTGTTTTATAACACGCGAATGACATATTTAAAAAGGAAATAACTATATAGACCGTTCTTTTCAACCCCCTCCCTTCCATCTCATTGATTTGGTTGAAGGGGGGGGGGGGTAGTGATATATTCTGTAGTATCAATGAGAAATATTTCTATTCTAACATGCTGTTCTTTAATACCTAGAAGGGCGTTAAGCCACCCCCTTGATATCATCATCATCATCATATACAGGGCAGGATTATATAAAGTTCTTTTGCAAGATTGAAGCATAACACTGTTATTATAATATGATGTTGAGTATTAACACGAAAGTTACCCCCCCGCCCCATTGTTTTTAGAGGGTGGGGTAGGAGGGCGATATATTTTGCTTTCAGGAGAGGGGGTTGTACCTTGTGCTGAAAGAATGAAACACCACTGTTATTATATGCTGCTCAGTGTCACCTTGCCGGGTGTTAAACATACACTTTTCTCTGTGTGTGTTGGAGGAGGAGTGGGGGTGTAACCCCGTCTTGCAAGATTGAGAAATACCACCTTTATTATATTGTGCTACTATGCAGGGTATTAACCCCCCCCCCCCCCTTAAGCCACACACCATTTACATTTACTTTTAGAGATGTGATCGCTTGTGTTTCGAGCATGATGGAAATCACTATTGTTATAAGCTGTCGGTTTTATCACTTGGAGTATTAACACCCATCACCCCCCCCCCAATTACTTTTAGAGGAGGGTTATACAATTTCTTGTAAGAAATAGAAATACAACTATTGTTGTATGCTGCCCCCTCCCCCCCCCCCCCCACTTACTTTGAGAGGAGGGTGATACAATGTCCTCTAAGAAATAGAAATACAACTATTGTTGTATGCTGCTCAGTTAACATACCGGGTATTAACCCCCTCCCCTACCCCGCCATTTTAGAGGGTGATGCCCCATTTTGTAATAATAAGGAATATCACTAGTATAAAATACTGTCCAGTGTTATTACGCCGCGTTCTATTAAAACTATGATAGGACGATATACAGTAGTTTCTAATTCAGAAGGCGAAGTTAGGTTAATTATAGATTTTCCACGATAGCTCCAAATTACAGTAATCTCCCCTGACAGTATCAGCTAAGGGGAGGACCATCGAGATGTTTTCAATTGTCCCATGGAGTTTTTTTTTTTGTATACCATAACTATTTTTCAGCTGTTACGCAATAACAAACGACATGGTCGAGTAGTAACGCGCGCGGTTAGTGTTCTTATAATGTCTAGATCAGATCCGGGGCTTGAGTCTGTAGTGTAGAGTCCAATCTTTCGGGTATGGTACCAGCTCTTCAACCTGGAGCTGCAGTTTGATGTGTATCACTCTCTGGTGGGTAACTGTGTTCTGATAGGTACCTACTATCATGTGGGAATCTCTGTTCTGATAGGTACCTACTGTCTTGTATGTACCTGCTCTCTTATGGGTAATACTTGTGGCTTCCTGTGCTCTGATGGATACCACTCTCTTATGTGAATATGCTCTATAGTGGGTACCTACTCTCTTGTGGGTACTTATGTTCTGATGGGTACCTACCCACTTGTAGGTTCCTGTGTTCTAATGGGTACCTACTCTCTTGTGGGTTCCTGTGTTCTAATGGGTACCTACTATTTTGTGGGTTCCTGTGTTCTAATGGGTACCTACTATTTTGTGGGTTCCTGTGATTTGATGGGTACCTACTCTCTTGTGGGTTCCTGTGATTTGATGGGTACCTACTCTCTTGTGAGTACTGTGATCTAATGGGTACCTACTCTGTTTTGGGTTCCTGTGTTCTGATGGGTACCTACTCTCTTGTGGGTTCCTGTGTGTGAGGGCATCTGAATCTCAAATAAAGCACAACACGATTGAGGCTATTACAGTATTCTTTATTTCTCTATCTCCCGTCCTCCAGTCCCAAAATCCACCTCCTTGCTTTGACACTCAACCTTCAACTGTCCTCCGCATTCATCCCTACCCACCACCTTTCTCTCGCTCACAACACAGCCACTGTCACCCGACCAGTCGCTTCCCTTGTACCCTCGTTCACTCCGTACAACAACATACACGTCAACACACCCGGCCTCGCGTCTCTCTACATGATACATACACACACGCAGTGACCCGTTCCACGTATTCACCTTTCATACACATTACATCACCACACTGTGTTCTGATGTGTACTCACTCTAATGCGAGCTCAAGTAGATGTCTAGCATAGTACTCATCACAACCCCCCCCCTACCCCACACTTTATTTAACGGGATCATACATAAGACCCGTTTTTCGAATACTATTCACCTCACCAACACAGTTGCATTTAAAAACACACACAAAACTAGACATCTACAGCTTGTTTTGGAGCAGCTAAGAATTCTCCAAATAACAAAATACAACACATTACCCTATAGCTAATGTAAATATTTCTGTGGACGTCATTACAAAATTGCACTTTAGTAGTTACATGCGTTATCTACGAAACGAAACAAAAAACTGCAGGCCATGAAATTAACTTTTGTTTGTGTTTAATTACAGTCATACTTTCTTTATCACTTCTACCATACAGTGTAGTGACAAGCTAAGCAGATCGGAATGCTGTTAAAAGCGGGCCTTGTTTTCTCATTGATACATTATACCACGATGGGGAGAGGGTCGGGCCTTTCTCTGTACCAGGGGTGGACTGGCTGAGTCCAATATGCCCGGGAAATTTTTAAAAAGGGGCCCCCAACCACTGATTAAAATTTTCATTGTGCATTTTTCCCCCTTCAAAGATTGATGGAAATTCACACCACATATTATTTTTTAAAAATAAATCAAAGCACTAAAAGTTCTAGTACTACAGTGGTCCTGTGGCCCCACCAATATTTTTTTGTAACTGTTGGACCACCGGAATTTTTTTACCTGGGGGCCCATCGGGTTTTTTACCTGGAGGCCCACCGGGATTTTTTACTTAAGGGCCCACCGGTATTTTTTACTTAAGGGCCCACCGGTATTTTTTACTCAAGGGCCCACCGGTATTTTTTACTTAAGGGCCCACCGGGATTTTTACTTGGAGGCCCACCGGAATTTTTTACCTGGGGACCCACCGGAATTTTTTACCTGGGGACCCACCGGAATTTTTTACCCAGGGTCCATCGTAATTTTTTACCTATGTGCCCACCGGAATTTTCCCGTTAGATTAGACCGACGAGCCAGTCCACTTCTGCTCTGTATCCTTCTATTGAACTTTGATTAGCTATTAATTAATAAAAATAAAAAGTGACGACTCATCTAATTAGATTAGCTGCCAAGTGTTAGAATTTAATCAAAGGTTAAAGTTAAGGTTAATTAGTTATCAGTTTGAATTGAGTCATAGACTCCACGTCGCTGAAAGTTGTGTATATTTCATTAATAGGTTTATCAGCAGAGTAATTGTGGTATGATTAATTGTTTCAAGTTAGAGTTACGCTAATATTCAAAACATAAAAACGTTTCAGATAGGGTTAATTAATTAAGGTATGTGCAAATGTTATTTTAGGCGAGAAATGACTTGCTTGCACTTT